ATCGTTCTTTCGCTTTCTACACGAAACGACATGTCGGGGGTGATGTAGTTTTTGTCGCCGCCGGCAGTGGTCGTGTTGGAGGCTGCGGTGGTCGTTGAGGCGGCTGCGGAGGTCGTTGAGGCGGCTGCGGTGGTCGTGGAAGCGGCTGTGGTAGTTGAGGCTGCGGTGGTCGTTGGGTCTGCGGTTGTCGTTGAGGCTGCGGTGGTAGTTGAGGCGGCTGTGGTCGTGGAAGTGGCGGTGGTCGTTGAGGCTGCGGTGGTCGTGGAAGCTGCGGTGGTAGTTGAGGCTGCGGTGGTAGTTGAGGCTGTGGTGGTCGTGGAAGCTGCGGTGGTCTTGGAAGCTGCGGTGGTCGTGGAAGCGGCTGTGGTCGTTGAGGCTGCGGTGGTAGTTGAGGCTGCGGTGGTCGTGTAAGCGGCTGTGGTAGTTGAGGCTGCGGTGGTCGTGGAAGCGGCTGTGGTCGTGGTGGAGACGCTATCAGCTGGATCGATCTCCTCCGGCCGTTTCGGTGTTTCGCATGATTCCAATCCGCTCGGTTCGAATCGGTTTCCGTTAACCTCGAAAGGAGAAATGCACCCTGCTATACCCGGGAGTCCTCCGTAAGCGCCTACAGCGTAGGTTCCATCCAGGTTAAGGTCGGTGTATTCGCCACCGAGCCCTTTCCACTCGCTCCACTCTTTTAATTCCTTACCAACGGTCACTCGTAGCAAGCTTTCCGAGATATCCAGTCAGATTCGAGTCCATCGACCGGCGTTCACGAGTTCGGAACTGGTGTAGGACATGTCTCCAGAACCCGCGTTCACGTCTACCTTCAAACGACCGTCGTCCACGAGCGATATCGACAGAAAGTCGAGGGATCCGAAAACGGTGAGAACGTGTCCGTTGCGGCTTTCGTCCAGTTTTATCAAAAAGGATAAACTCTTTATGTTGCCACCGAAGGATGCCGAAGATGCGATAGTCCCGACGCGGAACGATTTGTCGGGTGTGATGCCCGAGTGGTATTCGGGGTTTTCCTTTCTGCACGAGGCTAGTCCTTCGGATCGTATCTGGTAACCGTTGACTTTCACCGGAGACAGCCATCCG